TCTCCCCCCACCCCTCCCCCCCCTCTCTCTCTCTCTCTCTCTCTCTCTCTCTCTCTCTCTCTCTCTCTCTCTCTTTCTCTCTCTCTCTGAAAATGTAACTGTAGGAGTTTTACGCCCCCACTGATATTATTTAAATCATTAAGGAGGCGGGCTTCCGACCATGCCTGTCAGGACAACGCGGGTTGAAAGGAATCCAACATCCCAGCAGAAAGACCGTGGTTTTCGGTAGAAATTTCTCCCGACTCGGGAATCGAATTCGAGACTCGGGAATCGAATTCGAGTATTTAGCAAGCGGAAGCGAATCGCCTAACTGCTTTACCACATAATATGGCTGTTTTCTCTCTCTCTCTCTCTACCTCTGTCTCTCTGTCTCTCTGTCTCTCTGTCTCTCTGTCTCTCTGTATCTCTGTATCTCTGTTTCTCTGTCTCTCTCTGTGTGTCTCTCTGTCTCTCTGTCTCTCTCTCTGTCGCTGTCTGTCTCTCTCTGTCGCTGTCTGTCTCTCTCTCTCTCTTTCTTCCTCTGTCTCTCTCTCTCTCTCTCTCTCTCTCTCTCTCTCTCTCTCTTTTATATATATATATATATATATATATATATATATATATATATATATATATATATATATATATATATATATCTATCTCTCAGCTGACATTAGTGGTGTTATCGTCAGACTCTTTGCCATTGCACATAAAGAGACAAGAGTTAAGATTCCTGAAAATTGATCCACCAGAACACAATTTCCCAATGCTTCTTTCTACATTCAAAATCGCTAATTATTGTTTTTCTGTGTTCCTTCAAAACATTCTCAGGGCTTGTCAATCCTGTATTGTCCTACTCCTTCCAGACATCTGTGTTTTCTTTGGTATAGCTTCTCCCTAAGCATTCAATCGGATGTAAGCCACATGAAGATCTTCAAACCTCAGCAAAGAAAAGGAATCGGGAATTGTAATGTTTCAAAACAAGTCTGGTCTTCAAAATACCATTTTGCAAAGATCAGTGTAGGAGAGAAGAAAGGGGAATAGAACCCCCCCCCCCTAAAAATTTTTTAAAAAACAAAATAAAATTGAAGAACAAACAGTGTTACTGAGTAGACTGGGAAGCCTTCAGTGCTGTAGTCTGATACAAAGCAAGGTAATCAGGTGGCAATCCAAAGACTGTACTTAGGGTACAAGAAGCCTTTCCAATTCGGAAGGGAACCAATAATAATGGAGTCTAATTGCAATATCTGCCAGGTCAAGTTTTGGAGCAGAAGAGCTGTCTTCCCTGGCCCCTTTTTGGCACCTGCACTTGTCCCAATGGTATTTCCACTTTCAGAAAACTCACTAAATCAGGCAATCCACCGAGAAAGCAAACCTGTCTAAATCTCTTTACTCTAGGAGGAAAACAATTCCGGTTAAGCTTCTGCAGCCATTATGAAAGCGTGCTATTTTGTTTGTTCATCATATAGAACCATTTACAGCAGAGCCAGTTGGCCTCTTCAACTTCTCGTCTTTCTCACTAAAGATGGCATAAGCAGATTCAAGTTTCGATTTTATAGAAAAAAAGCCAATAAATACCCTTCACTTTGCTGTTTGTAGAATTGAGTCGTATGTTGAGTGGGTCCTGAGTCAAAACACCTTCACCTTTTCAAAACACAAGGCTGATTTATACACTTCCAACACCTGCTCAGTCTCCGGTGCACTAGAGGCTTCAAACCTAAAACGTCAAAAGTGGTTCCATATTTTATTTTGTTTTGTTCTTTTAACAAAGAGAAACAACCAATTGCCTCATGGAATACGTCTGCCTAAAATTTTAAGAACAGTAAAAATTTGAATCTCCTAGGGGGTTTTCTTCGCATAAAGAAAAATGAACATTTTCTTTCGAAAATATACCTACCAACTCGACTTGGCAGAACTTTGCGAGTGAGAAATTGATTTGGGGCCGCTGATCGTTTTTCAAGAGTGGTATCATCAAACTTACAGTTACGAGTAAACGCTGATTCGTCTTTTGACTCAGAACATAACTAGAGAACAGAGACGTACCGAGCTTTTCTCTCGCAGACTTCACTTTGTTTGAATCCTTCATTGGTGCGTTTATCCTTCAGGTAAACCTAAGGTCGGGAACGGCCTCTGAAGCAAGCCATGGTTTCGTTAATACAAATCCTGTTATAGTTTTCACAAGTTAAAAAAAAAAAATTCTTTTGTAGATTCGGGATGAATTAAACGGCTTCATCTTTCACCGTAAAACCTCAACTAAAACAAACAATCATCGTTTAAATGTCATGATAACGCTCTCCGTGGTGCTCTGGTGCTATGTTGTTTGACATATGAAACGAGAAGAGAGAACTGTCAAGGAACCTTTTCTTTGCGTGTACTTGATTATTCAACAGACAGATGAGTGCAAGCCTGGGCTTCAAGGTCAGTGGTTGCAGAAAGTCAGTATCTTGAGTATACCCATGTGAAAGAAAATAGATTGCAAAGAATCATTCCATTTCTACAAGATTATCTGGTTTCCTGGTTTTGCAATGTAAACAACTTGCCAAGGTGTGCAGATTTTACCATTGGTCCCTTTCTCATCTTATCGTTTTGTTTCAGGTTTATAAAAGTTTATCAACTCCTCTGTAATGACCAGCCAGTAAATATATAATGCAAACGGTTGTTTGGGTTGTGAGACTTTGATTCCACCGAATACCAGTAAACTGAGAAACGCGGGGAAAATTCTTTGTGTTTCGAGCCCACAGCATTTTCTCTTCTAATCTCTCTACATATTCTCCTTCATTTTTTTGCCTGTCTATATTCTCCTTCACAGCTGTACAGCATATCCGTCGACATATCATAAATTCAACAACCGGTCAGTCCTATCCTCGATCATCAGTGTCTATGCATTCTAAACTCACGTATACTCGATTCACTTCTGGTTGGTTCTTTGGCAAAATTTAACGGTGATGCTTTATCGTGAACCGGCATAGCAACCTCATCCTTTCAGAATCATCTTCATCCTCGGATTTTCTATGTATATAGAATCTGTGACTCTTTTGAAAGTGAGTCTTCTCAGCGTCGGGCTAAGCGCCACAACTTTCAGCGTACCGTATGTAAAACGTCTCGGAAACACTCTCAAAAGTGACCTCAGAAATTCGCCTGTAAATCGAAAAGTGTTCCAGCAACTCAACTTCTGACAGTAAGAAACTATTACTAAATTATGTTATCTGAATACTGGGTTGTTTTTTATTTTATTTTGAAAGTGAAAAACGAAAAGGCAAACTTTTTTGTTGCTTGCACAGGTAGATCTACCTGAATCCAGGTGGCGCGCGGCGACGTGACAGGCTCTGATATAGCGCGCACCAAAGAGGAACGCTACGCACTAAAGTGGTGTGAAAAACAGTGCACCAACGTGGAGCGCTGTGACACGATAAGGTACACACAAAGAGGTTATTATAGTACTAGAGGTCGCAGTTGTGACGTCACCCACGTAAACTCATTATGGTTGTTCTGGCCCGCTCAGCTCTCTTTGTCGCCATTTTTTAAAGGATAAGAAACAGCGCTGTCACGCTACGAGTCCCTCGGAATGCCTTCGTCTTCATAGAGTTTGAAGCTTAGTTCAGTTTTAATTTAAGTTTTCTTTTTGTTTGCTGTTGTTTATCATATAACGTACACACATCCTCAATACCCCATGACCTGCCTACCGATTGTGGGATACATAAATGCTCTTAAATATGGGCTACAAATGAACAGACAGATATATTATGAGGTATTGTTTTTCCAGGGTGGGGTGGGGAGGGCCGGAGGGAGACAAAGTGAGTAATTGAGTTTTTTAAGAAAACGGACAATTTCATACTGTAGGCTTACTTACAAAATGGATTGCTTTATGTCATCTTACCTAGACTCTCATTCCATTGATTCACAGCCTAGGTCTGCATAGAGTATGAAGGGGGTTTAGACTGGGTTAATTAATTAATATATTAATGCGCTATTGTCTAAAAAATGAGCAATTAATTGTAGGCTGGAATATTGTAAATCACTTATTATTGTATGGATCCTGTGCGCTCCCCCAAAAAGCATTGTCTAATATCGTGCACAAATATCTATATACTGACAACATTTTAAAATGCAACACTAAGATAAACAGCCGGTTTATTTTAACCGTTCACAATATTTCTTAATTGGCTTTGTCTGGCAATGGTGTTTGGCTACACAACACCCCCATCTTCCCTGAATCCCTGGTGCTGCTGTTGCACAAAATATGACATGCTGTGTGGCATCGGTTCCCCAAAAGAGGTAACATATTACGCCGGCCTTATTGGTCTGTATAGTTATATCTGGTTGGCTACTTTATAGTCTCTCATCTCAACGACATCGACAGTTGTTCTTTTCCGTTCAGCTAGCCTTGAAAGTGTGCTAGAATTGCATCTGAAGCTTCTAGCAACTTCTCAGTCACATTCCTGACTCCAGAGGGCCGACACGAGCGCCTTGTGGTGGTCAGCGGTTCTAAATCTAAACATACTGTTTGCGCGACGCACAACAAAAGATTTCAATGAAATTGTGTTTCTTATTTTAATAAGATTCTGAAGTCCATTTCCTCCTTTTTGTTCCCCGAATTGTACCCACCCGAAAGGTCTCAGTGTGTATATCACCATATTAGCATTATTTGGAGATTGTCTGGGTCTTTTAGACGTAAACAATCACAAAAATCCCTATGAGTACATTTTAGCGATAGGCAAATCGCATGAAAAAGAAATCAACATCAAAAGACTTCCCAGAGTATCATAAATCCGTGATTGAAAAGTGTTGCTGTGCACCGACTGGCCTTTTATTCCTCTCCGAAATGGCGACGCGCCCCTCAAGTTTCACACTCGTGACGTCACAGCTAGGACCTCTCGTTCTATTTATAGCGTCTTTGAGTACACCTTATATCTCAGATTTTGATACAATTTCCATATCAATTCTTTGCACAACTGGTTTACTTTAGAAGTACTCATTCCTGATCACTGACAGCATGAAATGATTCTGTATTTTTATTTTAGCTTTCAAATGTTAATCATTTTTCATAAAGAAGCCATTAATACAACCCTAGTTACATACTTTTGTTCACATTCATGATTTCAAAACAAGAAATACAGTTTTCATAATGTGTTATAACGCAGCGTAACTCAGACTTTGAAACAAATTCTATAACACAAACTGTAACTTAAAAAAATATAATTATCTTTTTTTAAATTTTTTATTAAAGCAGAAGAAGTGCGTTGAGTTTCCTGTCTCGTGTTCAGAGGTCCATGACTTTGGCGCCCATCCTCCGGGCCTCCAGGATCATGAAGACGCCGACCAGCACCTGTACCAGGGCCACGATGATGGTCATGATCCAGCCAAAGGCTAGGGACGTGGAGCTGGCTCCGGTCACCGTGAAGTCGTCATCAAAGGAGGCAGCAAAGACAGTGACTGCCACCAGGTAACACAGGGCTGGGGGCACAGGGCAGGTAAGCTCAATAACATTGGCAGGGACAATGACAATCGTCATTCTTCTCACAGTGAGATATTTGTATCGGTCGTTTACAATGACAGTGGAATGTTACAAAGGTTAGGTGCACTCACGCATACACACAGCAAGACGGGACATTAGTAAATACATGTTTCACGTGCTGAAACAACCCGTAAAACAGTCTCTCTCTCTCTCTCTCTCCCCCTCTTTCTCTCTCTCTCTCTCTCTCTCTCTCTCTCTCTCTCTCTCTTTCTCTCTCTCTCTCTCTCTCTCTCTCTCTCTCTCTCTCTCTCTCTCTCTCTCTCTCTCTCTCTCTCTCTCTCTCTCTCTCTCTCTCTTTCTCTCCGTGTGTGTGTTTCATTAATTTGTAGCACTGTGTTCAATAACCTCACTGCAGTTCGTACAAATGAATTTTTATATGTCTAGTCTTGATTTTTTTTTTGGGGTTTTTTTTTGGGGGGTTGGGGGGGGGGGTGGGGATATCTTTTACTACAGGCAGATAATTGGAATTCAGATATGTTAGTGGTTGGATATGGTCAATTGGCATTATTTCCACCTTTTAAAAAAAACACTTTTGTTTTGTGCAGAAATTCAAAGTTATGTTGGGTCTCTACCAATACATTTGTATATCTGCACAAGACAAACGTTCGAAAAAAAAGGAGGGGGGGGGGGTATACGTATTCTTTTATTCTAAGGTTACTTAGTCATCAGTCTATCCAATCGTCTGATAGATTGGTCAGGTTATAGGCTCTTTTTCATATGTTTGAAGATTAATTAGGAGGAGGGTTGTTGGGACTCTAAGCTACACAAAATTATCAAGGCCACCCAGCATCCCAGGAGAAAACAAGGATAAGTAAAAATAATATATGACTTGAGTATCTATCTATCTATCTATCTTTCTATCTGTCTATCTGTCTATCTATCTATTTATATATCTATCTGTCTATCTATTTATCTCTCTATCTATCTATCTATCTATTTATCTATCTATCTGTCTATGCATCTATCTATCTATCTATCTATCTATATATCTATCTATCTATCTATCTATCTATCTATCTATCTATCTATCTATCTGTCTATCTATCTATCGACTGTGGAGCGAGGGGAGAGGGGGTTGTGAAAGGGCCGACCAGGGTGTTGACACATTAAGATCAAGCCAATCTGTCCTTGCACCTTGTTGCCCTTCCCCACGTCACGTAATATACAGCTCTGGTCAGATCTGCCACCAAGCTGTCGTAATGTTCGCTGACGTGGCTTTAGAAAAGAGCCCGTGAAATTGTCATCTTAGGCAACAATGATCTTACTATGTGTACAGTCAGTCGCATACTTTTAGGTAAGTTATTTTTATGTCTCCACAGACACAATCTAAATCTAGGTTATATAGACGTTGGGATCCGATATTGCCCACCAGGACCAAAACGGGCAAAAAAAAATGTAACGTCCCAGTCGAAAAACATGGATACTCGATAAAAACTCGATTGACACAGGAATCGAACTCCGGGTGGGACTGTCACAGCTTCGAAGCTCATAACAACTAACTATACCAAAACAAGCGGTCAGGAAGTGTATTCTTGCGATTAGAAAAAAATGACGGCTGTAAACTTTTAAAATCTATAGAAACCACCTTGGGATTTTTAATTAGTTTTTATTTAGGAATCTTCTCAAATAGAGCTAACATGTTCACAAAAAGACAAATTGATTCAAGTCGCTTTGCAAAAGCTGGAGAGTTTATGTTAGACAGTTGAGGAGATACTCGACAATAAGTTGCGCCACAAATTTTTGATCGCACTATAATTATACATTACCGGAGGGGGTATCTCGTGGCCTAGAGGTTAAGGTGTTGGCCTCTCATTCAAAGGTCCCAGGTTCGAATCCGGGTAGTGACCGAAAAATTTTCATCTCTAAATTTGTCTCCTTTCACCTCCTTTCCTGCTCTCTAGCAATGTTCTGTCGTCTGCTTTCGTCTCCTTTTTCTGCCCCCACTCCCTCATCTCCTTTGTCCCCCTCCTCTGGACTCCTCATTCTTTCTACAGCCTTTCTACTAT